GCCACCGTATCCGCCGCCATGACCACCACCACCACCGCCGTGTCCACCATGGCCGCCAGCGTCCGAGATAATAAGTGTATGGCTTTCAGCGCTACCACCGTGTCCACCTGCACTATAACCGCCGCCGTATCCGCCGCCACCATGACCACCGCCATAGCCTCCACCGCCGCCACCATGACCATGACCGCCAGCATCCAAAATAATAGTCTCATGATGACCACCACCTCCACCGCCGAATCCGCCGCCATGTCCATGATCATGACCACCACCATGTCCGTGATCGTGACCGCCACCGTGTCCGCCACTTATAAAACCACCGCCTAACAAACCGCCAGTCAATGGTCCAATGATATCGCCACCTCCACCTCCATGCCCATGACCACCACCACCGTAGCCGCCGCCGCCATGTCCGCCACCATGTCCACCGCCATCGATAATCACAGTTTCATGACCACCAAAACCTCCACCGCCATGTCCACCCCCATGACCATGGTCGCCATGATCCTCGGCCAGATGGATGCGAATGTGCACGTGTTCCTTGCCGAAGGTGGGCTTGCCATGTACAACGCCACCGACGCACAGCAGAACGCTCAACTGCAATAGTTTATTGAAAAAGGAAGAAGTAAAGAAATTAGTAACGTATCCACAAATGTAACTGTAATCCACGAATAGCACAAAACACTAATATCGAATACGCACTATGAACCACTTGGCCATTTCGTCTGCTGGAAAATCAAAATCGCGCTTTCTTTTAACTACGCCAGGAGCTGCAGACCGTCTGTGTGCCTCGTTTCCGGTCTGTGAAATCGTTGAATGTTAAACTGCAAATGATACGTTAACTGACACAGTGCAGCGTTTTATACACCACATTTGGCTATTATGTAAGTCTGCCAGCCAGCAGCCAACAACCAATATTCAGCTATAAACACATGGCCGCTTAAGCGCGCAGTCACCACGCGCGCGACAGCTAGGCAGTCCAGAGACCATGCTAACGCTGGCGTGCACACAAGCCAGCATTAACTGAAAATACCATACCAACAAATCGTGGAGAGGCGCACTAATGCGACCAAAAATCGCACACAAACACTCAACTAAAATATGGCATTATAAAAACGAGCGACGACGAACCAACGCCGGCGCTGCCGCAGCACAAAATCTTCCCTAGAGCGAACAAGCCGCCGCAGCAGCCGATACCTAGCTACCAGCTGATGGTCCCTACTAGTTACCAGTCGACAATTTACAGGTACTTTCTGCTTGCCAGCTGCTTTAGCTGCAGCATGTTGCAAGGCTTGCACGTAAGCGCTTTGACGCGGTGACCTTTGCGCGCGTAGCAGCGCGCTTTATTGCTCTCTCCTTTGGCGCGCTTCGCATGGCATGGTAAGCTCGCGGCGCCCGGACGCCAGTCACACAGCAGCATCAGTTTGGCACGCCAACACTTCCGTGGCGCGCCTGAAAGACGGTTTGAACGTGCAACATTGTCAAAAAATATATAGGAAATGCAGAGGAAACGACAGTATAAGCTTAAGGCCAACCTCATAGCCGGTGCATACATATACATATGAATTAGGTTTGTGGGTATAAGCGGGCATTAAGCGCATTTAAGGGAATAGCAAATATTTGCTCAATATTCACCGCTCAAGGGTCGGCAATTTTCTGTCAAATTAAAAACATTTTTTTACGTTCGTTTGTTTTTTTTTTGTTTGTTTGCTTTAGCAGTGTAGTGAGAGACCGGCGGAAGCGTTTTCTCATTTACATACATTACAAAGCATAATCTCAAAACATGTAATCATTAGCTACAACAAAAACAACCATAGGTAAAACTTGATAATCATCAAGACGACTGGGGAATAGCCACATAAAGAGTCTGCATTAGCTTTACATTAATGCTTGCTAACGGAAAGACAACAGCGCAGTTATAAAACTGCAACTTTTCGAAATAAATCGAAATAACTAAATGACATTACAACAATAATAATATACCTTTCAAAAGCCGATATACCACATACCAATGACGACTCAACTTCATCAGCATTCGCATTACTACACACATATTCGTACGTTTATTATCAAGCACACGTCCAGCAACAAGTGCGTTCATCAGCCAACAACAGCTGAGACACCGTTTCCATAATCTCTCACTGCTTTCTTGTGTTTTGGTATTCGTGCGGCGGCCGCCTGTTCGTTAATCTTTAGTCTGCTGTTATTGGCTTTTGACTAATATTAACATCCACTGGTTAGCTATGAAGTGATCATTGTTGTCTTGTTGTTGCTTTTATTGCGGAATTATGCGTTACGGCTGACACTAGTTCAATATGTTAATAGTTGTTGCTTTTTTAAACCTGAATTAGTGAGTGTGTTACTTAATTGGAGTCAAACATTAGTGCATGAGGAAAACAGACTGGCAAATGAATTTAATAGAGCGGAGAGCGGAGTCGCTCTTGCATACGACTCTTCTGCGCATTATTGTTATAAAATATATGAATTTAAACAAAATTACTTCAAAATTTTAGATCACTGCTTGGATTCATATCACTGCTGAATTTCTGAGTTAGAGTCTAAGAGTTAACAGGACCTAGTGTCGCGCGGTCGAGTCAATCAAACCCTTGTAATGGGATTACCGAGGAGCTGGTAACCATTTGAGCTTACCAAACATCTGTTAAGGGGGTTAATAACAATCTAATTCACTTTGCCAAAGTATATCTACCGAGATACACCTTCGGCAAATATCTTCCGACAAAATATTCAGTCGCACTGCGTGTAAATCTAATGAACACCTACAATTGCGGCGAGATTTACTTTGTTGAGTGCAATTAACACGTAGAACTTCTCATTGTTATCTCTGGGCCACAGGAATTTCGCGGTCGCACAAGTTCTAGTTGTTGACAAGCGCCTGCCAGCAGGCTCCAGCGTTTCCGCTATGGCCGGTCAGCTCTACAAGTCTAAGGATGCATTACTAAGGAACTGGTTTTGAGCGAACAGTCAGCAAGCTCAAAGCCAGTGTGGCTGCTCCATTATCGGCGTCGGATGATGGTGCCGATATTCATATACCTAGCTTCCTTAAGTCTAAAGCAGCTTTTGCCGCAAAGAGCTTACCAACTATGTCTGCCAACAGGCGCAAAAAGACGAGGAAAATTTAAGTCCGAGTGACTGTCTGTCGGTCCGTCCGTTCAAGCTAAAACTTAAATAAAAATCGAGATATCTTGATGAAATTTGGTATGCGGATTTCTTAGTACAAAAAACATTACGTGTTTGCACATGGACGAAATCGGACTACAACTACGCCTACTTCCCATATAACACAATTTTTAATTCCATTTGATTATTTCACTTTCCAGTACAATCAAGAAGTAATTAATATAACGGAATACAATTTTGCACTAATAATTCTTCCAGACCAAAAATTGCTCAAATCCAACTAAAACTGCTCAATCCCCGCGGTTTCTAATATGTGGACCCCAATATTTATAGTTGAATTTTGACCGAAAATTTCGGGCAATGTATGGGATATACAATTGAAATTCGGAAGGAATCCTTTCTGGAGAATGATAATACTGTTTATCAAAAATTTGGTTGAGTCGGTTCAATACTTCCTTGACTTATTTCAATTAAAATTACACAAAGTGTTGTACTCATAGCAGATAATCTTTGATGGTGGTATGTGGAGCACCATAATGAATTTCACGGAACATTTAATTGGTAAAAGTAAATAAAAACGGGACGTTACTACTTGAACTCCCACATACTAAACATTACGATTTTCGTTTTCCTAACATACTACCTAATGCCGAATATGTCAGTGTATGAGTTACATAAATCCCTAATTTTAGAAAATACTGCTTTTCTAGAATTTGTCACAACTTTTTCCTTCTGTATTGAATGTTATAACAAAACAAAAACTAATTTTCCAATACATCTCGAATTTTATATATAAAAATGAAACGCCTTTTTTGTATGTATCCACATTATGTACTCCCGAACCACAGCAAAGAAAGACGTGAAAATTTGCACGGGTACATTTAGTCCTGAAGAAAGTCAAAATCACCCTCGATTTCGCAATTTATATCTAAAGCACAAGTTTGAAGAGGATTACACAAGTCTACAAATAAAAAGCAAAAAAATACAACTGTCTTGGCTATGCGTGCATCGTTATCTTTGAAGGTTCCTAAGTTTGAATTAGAAGGTAAAAAAAAAAAAAAACATCACGTACAGTTTTCCAGTTACATCAAAAAAAGTCTCTTTGAAGAAATATTTGTAAAATGCCCTGTTGACTAATATACTGATAAAATTTAAAAATAAAAAAAGTTTTTACTTTATGTAAGACATTTATTATATCGTGTAATAATTACATATAACTATTGAACCTGTTTTGTAGATTTCCTTTTTGCAAATGGCGATTTTTTCTTGTATTCTCTATTACTTTCTCTCATTAGGAACCAACAATAATCCCCCATCATTGCAGGATCCCAGCGGCCTTGATATCTCTGTTCCATTGTTAAAATATCTTGGTGGAACCTCTCTCCCTGCTCATACTGACGGAACCCAAATTTTGTGGAAAAAAACTCAAATGTGAATGTAAAAAATGAATTTTTAGTGACATTATGCAACCTATTCTTTGGTAGTTTTCCAGCAACTCGTCGATTAGTTCCTCATACGTGTTAGACCTTTTGTTTCCTAAAAAATCCGTGACAGTGCTTCTAAATGATATCCAGGCTTTACCTTGAACGGGGTTTAGTTTCTCTTCAAACTGCTTGTCCTTCAGAATTTTTCGGATTTGGGGTCCAATGAAAATTCCTTCTTTTAGCTTGGCATCACTTAACTTCGGGAAAACTTCTTTGAGGTATTTGAAAGCCTCGCTATTCTTATCTAAAGCTCTAAGAAAGTTTTTCATCAATCCGAGTTTTATGTGTAAAGGGGGCAGCAAAACCTTACGAGGGTCAACTAGAGGTATATTCTTGATTTTAGCTTCACCTGGCACGAAATCACCTCTTTGCGGCCAATCTTTTATTTTGTAATGTTTTTCTGTTGCTCTACTGTCCCAAAGGCACAAAAAACAGCAGTATTTAGTAAATTGGCTGATACCAGATCATCGGAATAGCAGAGGACATTGATGATCTATTTCCATAAAGCCAGTGGCTTAAGTTTGACATACAAGTCTGGCAACAAATATGTGGAGCCCAATTCCGATCTTGATTCACTATAGGAAAAACCAAAATACTTGAGATATGCTAATTCAGTCACTTTAGTTATTAATCTGGCATGAGATTAAGGTGTATACAAGCCACAAACATAACAAAATGAATCAGTCGATGTATTACAACCACGTTTTCGTACTTTAGACATTTTAATCAAAAAATCTCACTTTCCACGGCTATCGCAATAAATATACAACTACCTTCAAGTTTTAAATTGATAAACAAGAAAGAATACAGATAAGATATACGAGAAATGTCATAAATACTCTCGACTAACAAATAACTCAAGTATATATGGATTTGGCGCAAGTAGAACAAAAAATTTACTTAATACTAAATATTTTTGAAATTCTTAAAAATCTTACTGTTTTTATGAAATATAACAAAATGGCGGCGGTTTGAATAAAAAGTATCGAATTTTGACCTTTATTTCAATAGCGCGATAGCGAATCACGTTAAAAACGTTGTGTCCAAATTGAAACTAAATATCTTCAAAACTTTGAGAGTGGAAACCGTTTTGAAAAACACCATTCTGCGACCGTAATAATTTGAATTTCGATTTCACAATTTGGGGAAATGTTTATTATAGTGCATAGTATCAGATAATGCCAAAAAAATATCTATTTCTAAAAAATTTCACTC